ACATGACCCACAACGACAATTGGTAATAACTGAGACGTGGCCAACAACGACAATTGGTAATAACAGAGACGTGGCCCACAACGACAATTGGTAATAACAGAGACGTGGCCCACAACGACAATTGGTAATAACAGAGACGTGACCCACAACGACAATTGGTAATAACAGAGACGTGGCCCACAACGACAATTGGTAATAACAGAGACGTGGCCAACAACGACAATTGGTAATAACAGAGACGTGGCCAACAACGACAATTGGTAATAACAGAGACATGACCCACAACGACAATTGGTAATAACAGAGACGTGGCCCATTACGACAATTGGTAGTAACAGAGACATGGCCCACTACGAGAATTGGTAATAACAAAGATGTGGCCCACTACGACAATTGGTAATAACAGTGACGTGGCCCACAACGACAATTAGTAATAACAGAGACATGGCCCACTACGACAATTGGTAATAACAAAGATGTGGCCCACTACGACAATTGATAAAACAGAGACGTGACCCATTACGAGAATTGGTAATAACAGAGACATGGATCACAACGACAATTGGTAATAACAGAGACGTGGCCCACAACGACAATTGGTAATAACAGAGACATGTCCTACTGTGACTATAAAAAATGATGGTGTGTCGGGACGTGACCTGGGACGACAACGAGATATGTGTGCAATATTTACGTCTTCACAGATTCATATCCATGTGATTTGGAGTAGATTACTTGATAAGCTATGTCAGGCAAAAAATCTTCGAAAGTCACGCACCATTTTTTTGTAATGAACAATGGAATGCAGCAACCAGGGAAACGTAATCTATATTCTACAACGACAATTGGTAATAACAGAGACGTAGCCTACGATGAGAATTGGTAATAACAGAGACGTGACCCACAACGACAATTAGTAATAACAGAGAGTGGCTCACAACGACAATTGGTAATAACAGAGACGTAGCCTACGATGAGAATTGGTAATAACAGAGACGTGGATCACAACGATAATTGATAATAACAGAGACGTGTCCTACCGTGAC